AGTTAGTAATAGACTTATTTATACTACACGTATATATACTATCATTTACCGTTCCCGCGGTTACTTAGAGCGGGTCTATACTTAATACCCGAGATAGTATAATCTTATCCGTAGCTACTACTAGTAGTATAGAACTCTCACCTATATCTAATAGCGCATAAGATAATTTAAGGCACTTATCCAACTGGTTTAGAGTATCTAACTTATCCTTTTTATAGTAGTTAGTATCTATATAGTCTCTATAACTTTAGTATATACTTATATTACCCGATAGCTTAGACTCCTCACTCTTATCTAAGTTATCCATATCTACTTTAGAGAAGTCATCTAGGTTATCTTTATATGGGTTTATATATATAGTATCCGGGTTAATTAGTGTTAGTACTATAAATACTAATACTATTAGCGATTTTTAAATGTAGTTAATACGGTAGGGCGCCTAGTTCGACCATGTTAGGCTTAGTACTTGCTATTCCTCTATATAATTTAGCACGCGATTAGATAAAGGTATATATATATACCTAGTATTAGTAGAGAGCGTGTGAATCTATAGCGACCGAAGGACGAGTTCGGCGCCCGCCCGCTACTATATTCATTAAGGGCATGCCTTATTATAATATATATAATAGTAATTATAGATGGTGGAATCGGTCGGAATATACTACTATAGTACTCCTTCGATCTAAGGAATCTCGGGGACTATAGTAGAACTAACTTTAGAGCCTTAATTACTACTAGCCCTACGAATATTTTCTAAGTTACGCTAGTATTATACTAATAATTAGTAACACGTCTAACACGATGTAAGTAATATACCTTTACTTCTATATACGCGTTATTATATATTAGGTTACTTATACTAGCTTTTCTCTTCTTAGCTATCTCCTAGTCCTAGTATTTAGATACTATCTATCTAACTCTAGAGAGGAGTTAGTAACGGAAGTCTATTATATCTTTCTTTACTAGCGTAATAATATAGGCGGGAGGTGTGTTTTATAAATTATAATTAAGGTAGTAGCTACTAAGATTAATATCTCCGGCGGCTATCTAGGCCGATTATACTAGTATCCTAAAACTATCTAGGCTACTATCTAGCCATATATTAAGGCGATCGAATACCGGTGGTAACCGGCCTAAAAACGTCATGGTAATCAAAATCTCTATTATCGTAAGGTACCGGTCTCGTTCGTAAGGCTAGAGACTATCTCTATAGGACCGCCTCTTTTCACGGATAGTTAGTTCCCTCTCTACTACTATTTCTCTATCTTCTTCTATTAAGCTAGATAGCTAATATAGTAGAGGAGAGGACGTAAGGCCGTTATATCCCTAGTTACTATTACGGTAGAATGTTACCGTGACGTCTAAGCTATATAGGGCGTTACTACTATATTCGCTACTAGTATACCTAGACTACTAGGTTATTAGTAGATAAACGAACGCGTCGAGATAAGCTAGGTGTATATATACACGTTTTTTATGTCGATGGCTATCGTGTAAGTCCCTATTATTAATACTAATACGTGTCTACGTTATATCGTATCTTCGTTTATCTATTCTATTTAGTTTACTATGGTTACTAGATTATCTTCTATTAGTGTTACCGCCACGGTAGCTAGATAGTCCCTTAACTATCTTCCGTGTTAGAGGTTCTATAGAGAAGATATATAAGAGATTAGTAGATATTTTTATTAGTAATAGGTCGGTAATCTACTAGGTAATAATATTAGATAGCGGGATAATAACTAGCTAGTAGATACGATAAAGGTTTGGGCGTAGACTAATATAGTATTTTTATAGACGCGTGATACTTATACGTTATTATTAATAATTTTAAGCGAGCGTGTATAGAAATTAAGGGGCTAAGAGCCGGGTAGAAGTCGGGGGTTAGTAGGTATATATCGGGCTTTCGACGGGCTTACACCTAACTTCTTCTAGTATACGCCTAGAATATCCGCCGTATACCGTATTATTACTATCTACTAATAATTATACTATAGTATTTTTCCTTTATAGTAACTATACCTTAAGATACTACGGGCCGTAGTCTTCTACTAATACTATAGTAGAAAGATTAGTAGTATATACTATATAATCCGCAGGCACCATAACTCGGAACTATATAGACGAGTACGGCTTACCGCATCGCTATTATTATTATAACTATTAGGCCCGTGGCTACCACTATTAACCGGGTTACGGCGCGGCTTTAGTACTTATAGTTATATTAGTCGATAGAACTCTTTGGTTCGCTCTATTAGTATTTAGCCGTCGAGCATTAATTAGGAGTCCGAGCCTATGGAATTAGGTACTTCTACTACTAATATTACCCTATATAAAGATACTACTATTTTCCCTAATTCTATTTCGGACCTAGAATCTATAGACAGCGTTACTAGTAGCTATAGTACCGATTTAGTATATTAGTCTAATATATATAGTAGAAATACTATATCCATGGCGATAAGGGTGTCTAGTACTATATATTTAACGAAAACGTTCAAAGAGGAGAGCGGTATATATATTATAGTAGACTAGAGTAGACGTGATAATCCGTCCGACGTGAGTATATATAGTCTAGATTT